AAAAAAAAAAAAAAAAAAAAAAAAAAAAAAAAAAATTCACTGGGCTTGGCAGTGCACACCTGCAATCCCACCACTGGAGGCTGAGGCAGGAGAATCACACAAGGTCAAGGCCTCCAAGGGCTACATAGTGATACCCTGTCTCAAAAACCAAATCAAAATACACAAAAGTATGAATTACAGGAAAGCACTATGAGGTAAATTAATACATACTATTCCTTCACAGAGAAAATGTCTAAATTGCATAAGACAACTACTATCGCATTCTTTTACTTTCTGTGATGCTCTCCTTTGTATCTAATAATGAATGGGTGGACAGAAAAAGACAATGACAGTAAAACTGGAATGGTAACTAGTTTTTAAAGCTAATTTTAGGTAAATTATATTAGTCAAGATACAGATTTAAAGAAAAACCAGTAAGCAGCTTTAAGATTATTTTTAGATTAGTCTTTCATAAGATTATGAATGCCTATCAGAAAACAGATGATCGCAGATTTAACTAGCAAATGCATTTCTAAGATTTCTTGTATATGTCACTGTTACATATGAATAAATACTGAGATGAATTTGGCATCTACCTCCTAAAAGCCTACAGTACAACACGCTAAGTATTACAGGGCCCACAGAATTAAATTTAATCAAGAGACCAAAGACAAGCCAGAAAGACAGGTGTGGCATCAAGTGTACAGCGATTCATAAGGAAAACCATTAGGGGCGGGAGAGGAAGGAGGAGGTAAGACAAAACAATAGGGTCTTGCATTCCGAAGAACTAAACTAGGACTCAGAGAACGGAATATTTAAATGGAGAAGAGCGGTGCAGGGCATGCACAACCGGGTACTCTGAGGTCAGGGCACACTAGGCGGAGTGGGAGGTACGAATGGAAGGGAACGGGCCGATAGATTGTGAGGGGCCTTGGAAAAGTTATTTTTGGTGGGGAATCAGATGCCGAAACTTTGCTTTCCACATGAACCAGGAGGGAAAGGGAAAAGAAGGGACTAGGATGCAGCACACAGAACTGTGGGGGTGCCGACAAAAAGCAGAGGAGGGAAGATTTAGGCATTATGCATTGCTGCTGTATAGAAATCTACACAATGTATCCTATACAGGAGTGCTATTTTTGGTGTACTTTTCCTTTGATGAAAAGGAAAAAAAGGTTGATGTAAAGCCACAAGGGCTTAATAAAGACCTAAAATAGCAATCTGTTGTAAATATAGCATCTAAGTAAAATTAAGTATCTATAACTTAAATATGAAGATCAAATTAAAGAGAATGAGGCTGGGCATGGTAATGCATGCCTGTATTTCCCAACACTCAGGAGGCTGAGGCAGGAGGATCTCCCTGAGTTTGAGATCAGCCCGGGATCCATAATGAGTTCAAGGGCAGTGAGGGCTACAAAGTGAGACTCTGTCTCAAAAAACAAAACAAAACAAACAAACAAACAATAAACCTCCCCCCCTAAAAAACAACAACAGAAAGAAGGCGTTTTATTAGCTTCAGTGTAGGACAAAACGACATTATTTCTATTTTCTGGACTGTCTAGTTTTTAGCCTATCAAAGCTATACTGTGATAATGAAGTGCTACTAGACTAATGCCCTTCAATTTAAAATAAACTTACGCTCTCCGATCATGGTCTATTCTGTTTATTTTTCCACCGATGAATACTCTGATCTTACATTCTTTCCATTTTTTCTTGGTAGTCAGAAGATAGGGTATCAATAATGTCAAACCTGAATTAAAGATAGCATTTAGTATATAATTTGTTCTAATTTCTCAATCAGTAACTTTTTAATTCAAGGTAGTTGAATAAATCACATGGAATGACATATTTATATCTTGGTATAAAACAGAATTCTTTCATTCCTTGACAATCCAGTCAAAAAGCTACTGGACAGGCAAGCCTGAACAAGGAGAAAGACTCGATAATTAGGACCTTTTGAATAAGGTACAGGACAACAGCCTGGCTGTCAGGAAATCAGACTCACACAGAAGGAGTGAAGAACATATTTACGGACCCTAGTGGGAGGCAGGTTTCACACTGAAATGTGAAGTACGCGAGGAAGAAGCCGGACTAGAACTGATGCTCAGCCTGTCCACCTACAGGCACACAGGTAAACAACACCAATACTGTCTAGTTTTCAACTCTGGCCACGAGAGGCCCGGGAGTCCAGATACCCTCAGCACCACAAGCATATCTGCCTGCTCTTTATTTACTTCTAACTACTGTTCTCCACTAAAAGGAACCAGGGCTCCATGGGTAAAAGTCCCTTCCATGGCCAGTGTAGGGAAAGCACAAAACTACACAGCTGAGCTGGAATATCATCTTCTATCAGAAGGTGACTCCATACAGGACCATGACATGACAAATGGACGCAGAAGTCAGCCCGAGGAAGGCGCTGCTGGCTAACTACGGTAGTTAACATTAACCACAGTCACCAGTTACTTCCTATTCATACATCAATGTGCACATACTGACAGAAATAAAGAGAAGTAAATGCTAACTAACAAACGAGAAAGAAAATGATAGGATGATAGGACTGAAAAATCATCATTTGGCAAACAACAATAATAAATTTGGGCAAAAATTTCCGTGGATGTTAAAGATACTGGTAAAGGTTGCAGGAAGAATAATATGTTTATATTGCCTCAAAGTAATCGTCCATATCTGTAATCACAAAGAGAAAACACAACTTTTCAGTGGGTGACTGTTCAGAAACACCTTACTCAATGGTCAGCGTGAACTCTTCCAGCGAAGGAGCAAATGGACACCAGGTGTCACCGGACGAAATGCAGACAGAGGAGCACAGTACTGCCTCTGCGATAGGTCTGCCAAAAAACACATAACCTGCAAGTACTTACAATGAAACATCAAGCACCACTCCAAGCCGACCGGCAATCTACAGAAGGGTGCACGCTATTCAGAGAAATGCAAAGTCTAAAGCTCAGGAGGTTCTGAGCAGCTCCCACCGTACTGAAGACCGAGGCCGTGACAACTACGCCTGGCCTCCAGTTAGCTCCTCCGCTGGATGAGCGTGTTGGTAATACCCGAACGGGGTCTATGAGTACACAGTGAAGGCCATTTCTTACACCAGTCTCCTATCTTTAGGAGATTGCACATTATTTTAAAAAACTATCAGTGATCTTACCTCCATCATCAAAAAGCCACCAGACATCAATAGTACTCTTTCCTTGTCTTTTCTGAAACTGTGTACTAGCTTCAAGAAGTTTTTGGTCGGCTACATTTAAAGGTACAATAGGGCCTTTGGATTCTAAAGGATTAAGCAGAAAAAGTAAGATGTATGGAAAGTAAATGTCTCATTTGCTGAACTCTTATAATTTTCTAACTTTATATACTCTAGTATGTTTATAATGTAGATAGTGAATGTGGCATCCTTAACGTTCTAATTTTTATAATTTAAATACACTTTAAAATAGCTACAGATAAATATCACAGTAACTAAACTCATTCAAATTAGCTTGTCTAATTTCTAATATTTTGAAGCATTCTGATAAATGTAAGAGGATCATAAGTACCAGTCAAAAATTATACTTGACTGTTAGATTTTGGTTTTCTGGAAAGTTATTTCAGGCTAAATCAAGTGTATAGTTGTTCTGTAAAAATATTTCTTTTTAAATGTGGTATCTCAGTGATATAAAGCTCAAAATGTATTTTTAAAATAAAAAATTATCTGTAACATAAATGACAGAAGGAAGTTGGAGACACACAAATACACTTACACTTATCACAGTGAAACTTTGGTCTGAGGAAAAATTTCCTCATCTTTATCTGTCTTTTTTTTGGTGTCCTCTCAATATGTGGCCCAATTCTAAATACATACAACCACATCTTTCTGTGAAGCGCAGAAAGATGGTGGGAACTCCTTGGAAGGCACCCATCTGCTGTGGGACCAGAAGACAACACCTCAAAGTAGTTCCCTTCTATATTCCCAGAATTTAAAACAAATAGCACTGGTTCTGTGAACAAGCAAATGACTATTATGAAACTCCTATACTAAGATTTTAAAAGAAATCCACACAAGGACATCTGACCACTCTTGCAAAATGTCTATCATTCGCTTTTCATGCTGCCAGGATGTATGCAAACATGACAAATGATTTTGCGTGATGAAATAATATGGCTACCAAACCACACTGCTCCATAACTCTCACCTCTATCTCCTTCTCATAAAATTCATGTATGTTGACATGACTGTGTATCTCCCAAACGCAGCATGACTGTGAGAAATATTGTAATTTTTAAAATGAAAAATACATTAGTATCAAAATTGAGGACTTGGTTGGGTACAACTGATGGTAAAGAATGCAAGTGACACTGTAAATAAATAAACCTATTTCAGTGTCCCTACTTATCTAAACCATGCAGTTTAAAATAAAAAAATTAATACTAACTTTCTGGATTTCAGTATTTCAGAACTATGATGATTTAAGAATTTTTCTGTGGTATATCACCTTATCTCAGGAAAACTTAACTCTTTATTTGGACTAATAATTTTTCTAATCTGCATTTAACAGATAACTGTAACATCACTTCACCATGAAGTAAAAACTAAGGTAGAAAAAGAAAATAATAAGGTTGGAGTTAAAGAGTCAACAGTATGGAAAAAAAAGATTAAAATAAAATGATGAAAAATGCCTGCCTTTTTTCAACAGTGGTTGAGTTGGAGTCTTGCCATCCTCTTCCTCATCTAGATTATGTTTAAAAAACACAAAATATTAAGTTAATTGCCTTTACATTAATAAAATAATGAAAATGTAAAAAAGCACATTTATAACAAAACATAGTATGAAGCAACAGTCCATGAAAAATGATCAAGACTGAAGGTTAATACTTTCTACACTGAGTTTTCAAGATTTAAAAAAACAAACACATTTTAGACACTACAGGATAAATGATTAACATTCACCCTGAAATTTTGTTCTTGTAGAATTATTCAAATCTACAGATTTTTAAAACTTTCATACTTGAAATAAGTTGAGAAAATGTCAAACTATACCTTGTATAGCAGAAGTATGACTTTAATAAACTAATTTTGTACATAATACATAAATTTTAAACATGCTGCTGTATCACTGTGCAAATGACTGAAAAGCAACTTTAGAAATATTTAATGGTATTTGATATTTGTAAAAGCTGAAATATTAAGGAATTTTATTAGAAGTCTTGTTTTATGTAAATGTCAAGTTATACAGAAGTATAAATAAATCAATATATATATGCATGTATCTATGCATATATTTGTTCATTTATATTTAGTATTAATCATTTTTACCACAAAGTTTTACCCCCATGTTTTTTTCTGAATACATGCTTGTATTTGTCTGTTTAAAGAACATAATACTCCAACCTGGATGGAAAGAGTATTCTGCAGGGGAATCTCCTATGACTACAGCACCACTTCTATTCCTTTTCTAGCTGTGTGAGCCTGAGCTGATAAACTCCTTGGTTTCTTCGTTTGCAGAAAGGGTTAGCAGTACCTACCTCTTAAGGTTGTTATATTGTAAGCACTGGTGCAATGAGCTCAGCAAAAGTTGTTCTTTCTGTCCCCCTGCATACTGTGTGCCTCAATAACCAAGTCAGATACAACTAAATACTGTGACTACATAATTATCTCACAAGAATGTTCCTAATTCTGAACACTTCTTAAATATTTAAACTTCTCTACAGAGCTGGGCCAGGTGGCACACGCCTGTAATTCCAGGGAAGCTAAAGCAGGAGGATCGCTGTGAGCACAAGGTCAGCCTGGGAATACCAGAGAGACCTTGGCTCCAAAACAAAACAAAACAAACCCCACCAAAAACAAACTTCTCCACAGTAGCCACAATGATTTGAGAACGGACTAAATAGAAAGCGAACACAAAATAAAGTTAATGCTACATCTGAATGCTAATTTTACGCATGATATGGCAAATAACCAATTATATTTAACTTTATAGTATTAACTATTACCATTCTCATAAAATGATTATTTAATGTTATCTGCCTTGGAGAATTAAAAAATTATAATTATATGGACATTCTGTATTCATTACATGAGATTAGAAAAGTCAAGGAAATTTTGATATTTAAAAATAATTAAAGGCATGTAGATTTTTACAACAGAAAGATGAGCAAATAAATGTACTGACCTAGTATCCTATTCTACAAAAGTAATAATTTCAAATCATGGCACACATCAATGAGCTAATGCATGGATAATCCTATTAACATACGGGAGCACAGAGTAAGTGCCTGATAAACATTAATTTTTCCAACTTGTCTTCATGCATTAATTCCTAACAGACTCTACAGAGAAAGATCATAAGGAAAATAAATGAACAAAAGAAGAAGAAAAAAAAAAGAACAGCAGGAGAAAAAGAAAGAATGTACGCCATAAACTAAAATACATACAGGAAAGTGTTGTTTCCAGAATCAATTTATGGAGTTTGAGGCAAAACAGAAAAGAATTATAATCAAGCCAGCAAAAAAATGAAGGGAAAAATGGTGTCAACTACACTTTCAGCTAACGACTCCACTAAGCAACAAGCTTTGTAAGAGGGAGAGAAACAAAAAGTAACTTCAATGCTTCCAAATAATGTACAAGAGATACATAGCACAGATGCGATTTGTCTGAGCTTGTCAATTTCAGAAAAAGAATTGTAATAATTGTATAGAAATAAAAATTATGCTATGGTTTGATGATTTACAGTGCAGATTTTTCTCACTGCATGTCACCTGGGAACAGGACAGATGGAGATACTGGTCTTACAGAGGTAGGAGAGTGAGGGAGGGAGAGTAAGATTTGGGAGTCATCTCTTCCTTTCTCATTAACATGACATACAGGTTTGTGAATGAAATTTTCTGCAAGTATTATGAGATTTGCTATTCTAAAATTATCATATTCTTTCAAAGTTTGGATTTAATCTGTCTTTAAAGTAAATGTAAAAACACAAGACCATGTTAGTAATTAATTGGCATGATTTCTATGACCCACTTGTATCTTAAAACAGTCCTTTGGTAGTCATTGTTGAGAATCAAATTTTACCTGATGAACTAGAAATGCGCAGAGTCAAGTTTGAGAAGAGGCTACTTTATATGTGTATTATGTAATAAAAAGGATCTCCCACAAATCAAAATACTGCCATTAATATAATTACTTATTTGAATGAAAATTACCTTTATGCTTAACAGATTTTTCATCAGATGGTTTGGAAGTATCTAAGTCCGATTTTTTACTGTATTCCACACTTAATACCACATCCTTGGTGCCAGGAGATTTCTCTTGTGATGATAACAGTTCTTCTGTAGACATGAAAATATTTAAAATAGTCTCTGAAATAATTTTATCCCAAAGCTATCATGATTTAATAACTGACGTTTAAAAGCTGAGTGATACATGATTTTTAATGTAAGCAATTGTGATAATCTGTTTAAAATGACTGTTCACTTAAACATGTCCTCCACAACTAAGAGGTTGAGGTATCTGAATTAGGTGTTAGGGAGTAAGTGTAAGTCATGAGAGAGATTCACATAAAACAAAAGAATGACATAAAGAATGTGAAACAAACCCTACTCTCAAAATTAATTACAAGTACAAAAAAATGAACGTGACTGATGTTCACAGGCACGTAAGAGTAGGACAACCCGAGACAGTGTCTTCCTAAAGAGCACATGGTTAAATTACCATTTCATTTTTAAGTGGTTGCATTCCTTTAGGGGGCAACTGTGATTATTTTACTTCTATAAAACATTTGCTATGAAGACAAATATAGTGTGAAACTGACCATCTGCTCATGATACTTATCGTTTATTTGTGTGAACAGAGAAACGACAGACTTGGACCACCTGCCAGCAGTGAGCTAAGAGCACCTCAGGCCTGACCTACCACAGGGCCGGGGACAGAGGAAAAGGCCATTTAGGTGATGATTACATATTGGGACTGATTTATGGCTTTGGTTATTTTTACTCCTTAGGCAAATTTAAAGATAAACTTTTTTTTCAATGTTATCATAAAAATTTCATATAAATCTTTCTTGTTTTGCATTCAAATACCAGCAGCCTCCTCCGTATAAACATGCTGTGCCCTGAAATTCCCTGTTCCCAAGTGCTCTAGCTACAGGCATGTGCCACCATGCCCAGCTACATGATATTCCTGATATTACAAACTTACACATTATGATGATGGACAGGGAAAGAATCTGATGCCGGCTATAGAGACCATGGGGGAATCTTTGCAGTGATGGAACAGTTTGTATCTTTTGGTTTTTTTATTTTTTGGTACTGGGGATCGAACTCTGGACTCCACTTGCGAGACAAGCAGCAGAACCACTGAGGTAACTCCCTGGTCTGAACAGTTTGCATCTTGATAGTGGTGGTGATTACACAAATCATATGAAAAATGACACAAAACTATATACACACACATATGTAAAACTGACAAAACCAGAATAAAATCCATGGGCTATTGCAATGTGAATTTTCTAGCTTTGATACAGTTTTACAGATGTGCAAGATTTACCCTGGGGATAGGGAATACTGGATTAAAAAGTACACAGGACCTTGTTGCACTATTTTCAACAACTTCCTATGAATCTCTAAATATTTTCAAGTGATAAATTGTTTTTTTTTAATGGGTCTTCTTGAAGACACAGGAGATACTATGACAAAGTTTACTCTTTTCTTAGTATTACTGTGCCTGTAAAACATTACTTTTGTAAAAATGAAAATGACCCAGTTCTAGTAGTTAAAATTTTTCTACATACTACTGCTCTACTTACGTTTTTACAAATTCAACCAATTTACAATCTGAACTAACATCTGCCTCTCTTAAGCTTTTAATCTGAATTAAAGTTCATTCTCCCCATAACTAATCACTAATCATTATCCAGGCTGACACAAAGAGAAAACACAAAGTTTGGTGGATTTCAAACAGCTATGACCTTAAAATGCTATACAGTGAGTCTGTGACACAAATAGACAGAATAATAAAAGTTAAAGAAAAATTTGTGAGAATTATACACAATTTCTAACAAAGTACTTGTATTTTAAAAATAAAAACTTATTTTGAACAAATTTACCTTGTCCTTGAAGATGCGATATATCCAGACCTTCTTTTAAGCGGATAACCACTACTCCATACTGTATGTCAAAGGCATCACTGTAAGGAAGGGGACAGGGGTGTCAATATGTTCTCTAAAATAAAAGCAATCATAAGCTCTAAAATTACTTTCAGCTTTAAATGTTTGCTTTCTTTAGTGTTTTAAAAGCTGCTGAGATAAGAACAATGCTGGGTTTAAAATCCACACCTCTCTTTTCTTCTATAATCCCCCTGAAAAGTATGTAAGTGTGAACTGTCACAGTATGGTCATGTGTCACCAGGTGTGTTTTCGTCCCTAACAAACTACACAGATGGCCATGTATTTATGTCATAAGCCCTGGGTGTGTAGGCTATTCCACGCAGGTTTGTGTAAGCACGTGATCTGACTGCTCACACAATGAAATCGCATAATGACACTTTCTCAGGGTGTATCCCCACTGTGAAGCAAACCTTGGAGGCACTGACATTCTACCTACAGAAGCTGTTTAAGGCAGTGACGGCATTTTTATCCTAGGAAGTGAAATGTAAAAACAACTTACAGTGACCCTACTACTTATATGAAGAAAAAGAAAACTGGATTCCATTGAAGATGACAGGAAGTTGCAGAGCATGAAGGGATTTCTGAAAAGAGGGTATTTTTAAAACTTTTTGTAATGTGGGTTTAAAAAGTACTCCAAAGATTTTATAGACATTAAAACCTTGACACACTTCAACAAATCAGAATTTTATCTTTTATTTTTATTTTTAATTACGTAAGTAAGTCACGTGTAGGCATACTGAAAAATAATAACATGTATCTATATGTAACAAAAATTTGAAATCTAACAAAATGGCCAAATTATTTCCCCTACTGAGAAAACAGAAGGATGTATTTACAGTAATAATAGGCCATAGGAGATCTTTTATTATTTAAATTATGGAGAGACAATTAGACCTCATACCTGTTGTGCATTAAGGTCAAAAGAAAGTCAGTGGAAAAAATTTAATTGACATGCTAAAGTCTCTCAGCTGTATCTTGAAAGATCTAATTAATACCTGGGAAACAATAGCTATAAGCATTTAAAAAAACGATTCCAAAGATTGCTTTAGATCAAAACAGTTAAACTCTTGTGCTATAAAAGCTATATAAACAGATTGTGGTTACAAACCTCACATACTATTAATAAAAACAAAATATATATCGAATGGCAATCATACAAATTATGTGGAATCACAACTAAAACACTGGGGGAAGTGTCACAAGATCAAAGAACGAGTGGTGTCACGGCTTTAAAACTGCCATTAATTTCCACGGCTCTAAAAATCAAAGAGCGTTATTATTTTACCTATCCTTTTAATTGCTCTCCGATATGCAATACTTAACTTTCAGAGCATTTATTTTAATGCCCAGAGAATTAACAGAGACCCCATATGAGTGTTCTCATTACAAGCAAGGAAAAACTAACAATGTGCAGGTGTTAAGAAAGAATCATTTGCAAAAATTTCACTTTTTACAGTTACTATCACTGTTCTTGAGCTTTGAGAGAAAAAGCAACCCCATGGCTGTGGCTTTACAGCTCTTAGATTAACTGATTTTATCTGTTTCCACTGTTTTTCTTTCTGTAGTCCACATTTACAGAAAGTACACAGTATACAATTAGAAAGCTACCATGTGATTTGGCTTATAAAAAATAAGCGCAAACCCAAAGAACAATAACAACACGACAAAATCAGCAGAGTTTAAATCTTACTACAATTAACAATTAGTTATTTGTCGTATACTGTGTATTAGTAATCAAAACAAAGAGTCTTTTCAAAAAGTAGAATATGAGATTTGGTTATTCCCTTAGACTTTCCAAAAGCACCTATAAAAAAAGCTATCATTTGTGAGGCAAGCAAACAATAATATTATAGCTGTACAGCAGTTTCTGTGACAGACAACTCCAGTGAGTTAAAGGTACTCAGATCAAAATTCAGAGAGAAAACAAACTTGATCTTAGAGCTGGCTTGTTAAATACACATTTTTTTAAAAAGGGCAACAATTGTTTATATATGAAGAAATACTTTAAAAGAAGGACAAAGCTGTTTTACTTCATCAGTGGTTATGACAAGGAAAAGACAATTCTTCAATCATGTATGTCATACTGAGGGGAATGTTTATCTTCAGTGTAATTGAGATGAATAGATTTATCGCGTTCTTCCTAGGAAAAGGAGGTACTTTTAAAATGTAAGAATAAATCCAGCAAAAAGAAAAACAATTAACTCAGTTCTAAAAACTACAGGAGGCAGATTAAAGAGATAAATAAAAAAATCCATGAACCTAGAGTAAAACTACAAAGGCAGTGATGAAATAAAAAGAACCCATTCGTTACATAACCCATAAGAAATGTGATGTAAAACTCTCACTGCAAAGAGAGTAGAAAATCCAGAATGTAGCACTTCAAGGGGATAGGAAAAGCAAACATGTAAATTGAAATGCAAATAACTTAATGAATGACCCAAGCGACTAAGTAGAAAATAAGCATGAGAAGGAAACAAAACTAAACCTCTGAAGTGTTGAGATCAGTGCAGAAATACCCTTCCTAGGCACAATATGTAATGATGACTTAGCTTGGAAGGTGCATGTGACAATATCTGGAAACTGTGCTCAGCAATAGCTATACGGTAACACACAGCTTATTAATTTAAATGGGATGCCAGGGTGAACACACACACTCTCATTTGTATGTTCACATACAAGCACACATATATATATATATGTATCTGTGTGTGCACATACCTCCATGGGCACAGGTAGGATATTTTAATAGACCACTAACTTAAAACCTTGTACGATTCCTTTCTATTTTTACGCTATCAGAATCAGCATTCCAGACAAAGCAGAAATTTTCAGGTAACACTTTGTGAACCCACCAAATTACTGAATCAAAGAGATACTTACTGAAATAAGTTTATATACATATCCACATCCCTCATATCTGCTTGCAACCAGTCTTTCTTAAATCCAAGGACAAGTGTGTTTGGTTTCATACGACCAAGACCAGCTGCCTAAATATATGACAAATACAACTTCAAACATATATTTTTCAACAAAATCATTTTATGACATAAAAATCCTTCAAATAGCTTTTAAACATGACAAATCCTTATCGGAGAAAATTCTTCAGTATCTAATACATGTATATTTACTTATAAATTGCACATGTAATACTTATTACATATTATTTACAATCAACATATAAAAACAGAATCATCTAAAAACAACACATCTAGAACTAAAAGGTATGACACTGTAGAAATAAATTAATGTTCACAAACATTTTCTGCTAAGGACTGTAAGCAACAAAAAGATATACAGGCATTAGTCATTTTATGTAATAGGTTTGCAAAAGAGAAATGAAAAACATTCAAGTGACAGCTTACGCTGTAATTTCAATTAGTTCTATAGAGGCAACTGGTACCTAATAGTAAGGTCTTTGCAGGCAGCTCCTCAGGCAGCTCTACCACTAGAATAAAGTCAATCTCTGGGGCACCTGACAAGTGGTTGCATGTGCCAGATTTATCGGCACAGTGTGTGTGTGTGTGTGTGTGTGTGTGTGTGTGTGTGTGTGTGTGTGTGTGTGTGTGTGTGTGTGTGTGTGTGTGTGTGTGTGTGTGTATGTGTGTGTGTGTGTGTGTGTGTAAAACATTCTCTCGCCAATCACATGTTAGAATTATTATTTTCAGTCTTTGGCTTCCTTTTTCATTTCCATTAGAAGCTCAAATTTTAAACTTTTTAAAAAATTGGTCTATTCTTCATAATGCAATACTGTGTTTCATTTAAAAAAATTCTTCTCTAGGTCAAAAATTATTTTGTATACTTCCCTCAAAACTTTTAAAACTTGTGCTTTATATTTTGTTCTTTTAACCCATCTGGAAATACTTTTGTGTAATCGTTTTAAGGGTCTATTTTTATTGTTTTTCCACGTGCATAAATCAATTATTCCAGCTCATCCTTCCAATGCTACCTCTGTCATCATGTTACAGTTCCTGTATGAACAGGTGTTTCCATGCTGTTCTGTGCATTTATCTAATTGTCTATCACTGCTTCACAGTGTCTTAATTACCTAGCATTCTTATCATAGTGTCTTAATTACTTAGCAACTACTCTCCTCACAACAGAAAGGGTTCAGGAGACAATACTCAGCGCCTCCCACCTCTACTTTAACAAAGCAGCTTCACAATCACAAAATTAATACAGATGCCTTACGGTTAAGGTGTTTTTCGGTTTTTTAAAGCAAGGGATTTCTGTAAAAATAAGTTAGCAAATACTATTGAAACAAGCTCTATCCTTACACCTTTAGGATGGAGGAGACTGAAGCTCAGAGAAGTTAAGTGACTTGCTCAGTACAAAATCTATCACAAGGAAGTGGCAGTGCTATCATGGAAACACGGGACCAATTCCAAATTCTCTTATTCTGGCTAGCATACCACACACAAAACTGAAACAGAAATCTAAGTTTAGTACTAGCAAAAAAATAGTAAGAACTACGAGGGACCATAATTTTTTTAAAAATTAAAGACTAGTATTACTTAACATTCTTACAAAAAACAGGCCAGAGATTTAGCTCAGTGGTGCTGCACAAGGTCCCAAGTTTGATTCCCGGTATGAAAAAGAGTAGCTGGGGATTTGGCTTAGTGGTTTTGCTACCAGCCTTACAAGTGCAAGGCCCAAATTCAATCCCTGGTCCAAAAAAAAAAAAAAAAAAAAAAAAAAAAAAAAAAAAGGAAAAAAGAAAGTTTCTGGGGTATAGCAAGAGTGAGATCAAGGAAAAACCTACAGCCTCAATACATTTATTAAGTAATAAGAATTTCAAAAATGTGTTCAACATCCAGCTAAAAAGACTAAAAAAAAAAAAAAAAAAAAAAAAGTGGGGTGCAGCAGAAAGGTATTCATACAAAGTGACTAATAGCCTAAGTTAATTTTTAAATAAGCTCTTTGCTGTCAGTCCACAACATAAAATTTCTATAGTCTTTTAAATTCAAAACTATATAATCTTAGTCTAGTCTACTTAAAGGTATTTAAAAATATTTACCTTTTGTATTAAAAGTGAAAAATAAAATCTAGAGTGAAGAAAGTTTCTAGAAGTTACACAGATCTCTAGAACACAGGTTTCTGAAAGGCTGACACATTTACCTGCATCAAGTACTGTGCACCTTCTCTCAAGTCATCCGCATGGACAGGAGCATAAAATGCCTTCATTTTGTTCTTAATAAGCCAGCGCTGATATCTGGCCTGATCCATGGACATTTCTTTCATTGCTTGTCTTCTAGGGCCCTTTAAATAAAGATATTAATGATATCTTCAGTTGCAAGATAACCTACTTCACATTTATCAAAGCCACTCTATTATGCTGGTTTGAAACAAGGTGACTAAATGTTGGGATGGGAGAAGTCTAATAATACCTTTTAATTTAATTCTACCTAATATTTTAAATTACCAAAAAGGTAGTACTGATGGTGTATAGTTAAGGCACAGTAGATGCCAGAAAAAGGGAGGAAGAAGAGAAACAGACTTATACAAAACATTTCAATCCTAAATTAATGGGAAATGTTAGAAATCATTAAAAATGGAGGTGATTACAAAGAACAAAATAAACTCACACTGTTTTTGTTTGGCTAAAGTGTCTGAGTTACTAGTTCTCAGTATCTTAAGAATAACTCTGAAAAACAAAGTGAGCATTAATATAGTAATACATTGTTTGCTTCATGAGTTTTATTAACTCAAAGTTCCGTTTTGATCCTGGGAAACAATATATGTGTTATATATAAGTACACTAAGCAAAATCTAAAAATATAAGTAATACCATTACATAAATAAGGAAAATACAATTTATCTTTCCTGATAGGGAAACCACCTCATCCGTTTATCATGTGCTCAAAAATCTAACGTGAATTCATCGGTGTGGAGACAAACGGGGAAACTCCACACCGTCCAGGGGATGTCAGTGTATCAGGGTCTCCTGACAACTTATCCACACACAGAGTGACTTTGCCACTTTACCAGTAGAAGAGCAACTCGGTACAAGCTGGGATATGGAGCAGACAATGCATATTTTGGACACCAAAATAAGATGAATAATGGAGTTTGGGAGAAAAGTTAGTCTGACAAATATCTTAATTTCTATTGCAGAACAAGTACACAATAATTTTCCCAATATCCAAGACACTAAAAAAACAAAAACAAAAACAAAAACCTTTTAGATGAAAACTTACCATGATTTTACACTATTTTCTTATTGATGAGAATAATGAAAAATTTAAAAGTAACACATTTTTTAAAATGCTAAGTTGAGACTGTGCAGAGCCAAAAATATTTTAAAGAAAACTACTTAAAAAATCTATTTGGCAGATTACTTTCAATGTAAAAGCCATGTATATCACAAGTTACACAGAGAGTTAACATGTTTGAATATAGAAAACAACTGGTTCTTACCATATGCACATGGCCACAGATCATCAAACCAACGTTTTTTGTGAAATCATGAACGAGATGAAGTAAAGCTGGGCGTGAGTTTGGAGAACCTGTCATAACAAGACACTGTGGCCTAATTCAAGATCAGAAAAATAAAATTAGAATGAGTTTGTTTTTGTAAACAAGGATGTGACATTTAAGCTATTTCTATATGATTACAGAACTACACTAACCTTCTGAAATTATTCTAAGGATGTCGTGGGCCATCACAGGACATGAGTTTACCCAGGTCTCTTTGGTATTATGAGAAATGCAAAAACAAACTTTTTTGGAATAACTATGACAACTAGTTCCTCTAAAACAATTGGTAAAATTATACACCAAGATTCCAGTAGAATTATTCAAAGAAATTGCCATGCTAATTAACTTTTCATCTCCTAAGGTAATAAATACCCACTTTTTTTCCACACAGCTTGCAAAATTTCCTGAGGACATGGCCATGCCGTCATACACACCAGGCTAATTCCTCCTAATCGTAGGTGAAGTCGCTCTAATTACTTGCACTGCATGCCATCAGTCCTCTCTGTCCCACCCCTCCCTGCCCATGACCAACTGTCTCCTTTCTGAGCCTTAGCAGGTTGCATGGCTCCCAGGCTACACACTGCGTTTCTTAGCTTCCCTAGGGACTAATCACGGTCCTGTAACTTACAACCCATAAGATGTTCCCATTCCAGGTCACGTGCTTTATAAAGGAAGCTGCTTCCCTAAAGGTTAGAAAATGGTACTGTGATAACTCTGACTACATGGACAAAAACTCTTTCTAAAGAATGGCAAATTCAGAGGATACAAAGAACACAAATCTCAAAAGACCAAAAGCTGCAAATCTGTCTACTTGCCATGAACCCTCCATTTACCTCTGGATTATCACAGGACATCCGTCTCGTGTTTGAGCTGGTGCCTTTTTCAGTCTTTCTTTTATGATAATTTAGACTATACCCAAAATACTGACCCATTACTGTGGGAAGTTAACTTGTCCCTATCTGTGTTAAACAGTAAACTCCCTACAAAGACATAATTTGGTACAGTTTTATCATACCAACAAAGGTAGAGAACAAAATATATTAGGGATGACTGAGTAACAATTGCTATGCGTAAACTTCTGTCTGATTTTATTTAATTGAATTTGACTTAAATTTAATTCCTTCCTTGAAAATCTTCATGGTATAATGAGTTTTTATTAAAGCACAAAATCTACAAAAATATGAAGCATAAAAAAGAAAATAACATTGAAATATTGAAAAGTTAGATAGCAAAGGGAAACACTGAAGGATCTGCCAAATCAGGAAATAGCTAAATCCAAAATGGTTGGGGGAACCAAATGAAGCATTCTGATTTCACATGAAAAATTCATCAAAATGCTTAGGAGTTGGTAGCACCAGATATCTCCAGAAGCAGCAGGAACAATGGGACAGAAACTAAAATCAAGACGACTGGCTTAAAGTCTGCATAAAAAGTAACTACATTGACTCAAATCATTTCTATCACCGTGATAGGCCACTGTACCTATTATTTTCCAATCCCGTTTGGCTTAATATGCTAAATAAGGTCTAGTCTGGAAAAACAGCAGAAAACAGATAATGGCAGGAAGTGATGTTTGTTTAGTTTTTTTGACAGGGTTTTTATTAGTATGTCGTCCAGGCTGGCCTAACTCTAATGTGATCCTCCTTCGTCAGCCTCCTGTGTGCTAGGATTACAGGCATGTGCCACCACACCCAGCTAGTAAGTTATTTTTAGTAGAACATTTACATACAGAACCTTGAGTCCTCCAAACCCATTCTCCACCTGACTTTCAGAATGATATATACGACTTTATGCACAAGAAGAGGATTGAAAGACCCATTTCTGGGAAAATCTCGTCATATCAAAAAGCCTTCAAAATGACTCAGTTTCTCAAAGGAGCAAAGCCCTATTCATCTCCATCAAAGACTTCCACCGACAAGGCCTGCACCCTGATGAACACCTTACTTGCCAACCATTATAAATAAACACTTCACTTCAGACAAGGTTGAATTCAAGGACCCAAATTAAAGAGAAAATAAATCGAAGGTCACAGTAAATACAGGTGCAAAAAACAGAATCTTTTTGGCAAATCTGATGAAGACAAAGATAGTGGTAAATAGAAAGTTAATCCAGAAAAAAAATTCTTAGCTTCATGAAAAACAGAAAAGTTGCGCCACCATGAAAGAGCAATCAATTTACTACCTGACTCAGCTGTGTAACATAAAGTCATAAAAACACAAATATCAAATCTAATCTAAAAACAAAAATTGGTAGGTGAGTATGTATGTTCAACCCAGGCAGATCAAAGACATCAATTGATAATGTGTAAAATTAAAAATAAAATATGCAGCAAGACAAGCATGCTGATTATGAAGTAAATACTAAAAAACTACAAAAAAACTGCTGAAATTGAAAGTGACTGCTGATGGTGTAAAGAAACAGGGCTAAGAGAGATGAAGCAAGTACTGATTTTTAGGATAAATCATGTTGAGTGGTTTCCCCTCTTTATACTTTGTTCATCTGTAATTCTGGTAACAATTAGAAAGTCAAACTGAGATTTAAAAAAAAAAAACAGAAATATATATATATTTTTATATAGGAGCTCGTTATGTAGTTCAGGCCAGCCCTGAATTTACTATGTAGCCCAGGCTGGCCTCAAAACCTCAGTGATCGTGCTGGGCGTGGTGGAGCACACCTGTAATCTCAGCACTCAGGAGGCTGCGGCAGGAGGACTGCTGTGTGTTCAAGAGCCGCCTGGGCTACACAGTGAGTTCCAGGGAAGTCTGAACCACATAAGTAGACCCTGTCTCAACCCCACCACCACCAAAAAAACCCAAAACCCAAAACCCCAAACCCAAAAACCAAAAAACACCCAAAACCCAAAAGCAAAACCAAGGAAATCCTCAGTGATCCTCCTGCCTCAGATTCCTGGATGCTGTGATTACAGGGTACACCACCATGCCCAGCAATGAGCCTAGTTTTATTTTATTTAATAAACCTAGTTTTAACAAAGTATAAATAATGACATATGTCTAACAGTATATATAAGTATGTAATATTTCTGGGTTTAGAGAAATATGTACATCAATAGTGCTTTATTAACTGAATATCGTCAATTATTAGAAATGTATTACAGAACCGTTTTATATTGACTATTATAAAGATAAAATACACTTGAAGTCACGTATTGAGAAAATACAGCTTAAATGTTCATATTGTAAAACAATCATTTTTAAAAACAACACTGCAACTGATTTCCAGTTAGCTACAGATAAGAAGCAAAAAACAGTACAATTAAAAAAAAAGTATGTTAAAAATCTTTATAACTGGCCATAGTGGCACATACCAATAATTCCAGCACTCTGGAAGCTGAGACAGAAGGACTGTCATGAGTTTGGGGCCAGCCTGGACTACACAGTAACTCAGTCTCAAAAAACCAAAAACTTTTATAAAAATTTTACATAATTATATATATAAAAACATTAATGCCCACAGAGAATAAACTTACATACGAAAATGTTACTGAACTGTAATTTAAGAACTGACAGGCTAGCTCAGAAAAAAATGTTTCCACACTACCTTATCACCTACCTGAAGTTTTTCACATGGTCTTCCACTCCAGAAAGACGAATTGAATGTTGCAGTGCATTCAGGTAAGTCAGAGCTTGTGTGGAGGATCCCCAGTTCACATCTGTGGGAAGAAAACATTCATGAAAGATCATTTTTAATGACAACCAATTAAAGGTTCACAGGGAAATTAAACAATGCTTTCATATTTAAGTCAACTGCTAAAGCGCTGTACTCTTTCAATAGTACAAGTATATAGCATGACATTAAAACTGTAATCACCTCAACTATGACCACGTTCAAAAAGAGTGTAACTTAGAAAAGAGCACTGCTCTTCTGAGGTGTACATAACTCAAGTCTTACAAAAACATCTTAAACTTACTATTTTATGCAGTCACAGATCTGAATGTCAGATCAGATCAGTCAGAAGGGCTATTTATAGTACTTATCTGTTTAGGTTATTTGAAAATGAAAATTTCATTTCTTATTGACTAAATGAGACCTGAAATGATGATTTTATACATGTAAATTTATAGACTTTTAAGTTTTTTGTCCATTTCATTTCTACAGCTACCCCTTTCTAATCCAAAAGCTCACTACTTCATAGATTAAAAATTTTCCCTTTTTAATTGCAACTACTCTTATAATCTCTTCCTAATTAACTCCTATTAGGCCCAAACTTTCTCATCTTTTGTCAGATCTTTCTTTTGTAAATTGGACCAATACAAACATACCTCAGCATCACCACCTTGCATGGACACACACTGTATCTCACTATTATCTACAGGTCACACAGACAATCACTGACTATTTTGCAGTTAAAACATGTTTGCCCAATATTTCCTGCTACATAGTAAATAACTTAGTGGGAAAGACACAATGTCTTTTAGAATTTCATGAATTCTATGCTACCTACCATAGCTCTCTAAAACCAAAATAGGTAATGATATGTATGTTTATTAAGCTGACAGCTTCTACAATATCATAAATCTGCATTATTTTAAAGAATAATTTAAAAATATACTGAGTCCAACAGAATGGTAATTATATTAACTTATTATTTTTCAACAAACACGATTAGTTAAATTTAACTTATGGATAAGAATGGAATTCCAGGGCTGGGGATTTAGCTCAATGGTTCCACTGCCTGCTTCACAAGTGCAAGGTCCCAAATTCGATCCCCGTGCCAAAAAACAAACAAACAAACAAAATGGAATTCCATTAAAGTCAGAGTAATTTCATTAAACTAAATTTTTTTGTTGTTGTTGAAAAACAGAAAAGAACATGCATCTGTAAACGAAGCATTTTAGGTTTTACATAATAGACCTTTCAAACATACAAAATATGATTCTTAAATATGAAAAATAATAAAGAACTTTTATACATTTTCTAGTTTGAAATACTAAATAAAGATCACTAACCTGGTTTTTTGTAGGTAACATAAATATACAGCCCAAGGACAATTACGTATGTTAGCAATGCAGCCCACCAGTTAATGACAAACATCACTATGCAACAAAGAATTGCACCCAGAAGTGATATCCACATGTTGTAGTATTTGAATGCAGGACGCCATCCTAACAGTAATAAGCAGACAGATAAAAGCCACTCAGATTCCTCATCTGTGTTACACACACATACATACAGCTTTATGGCTGCCACACTGAGAGGAATTTAAGCATCAAGTAAAATAGTAAAGTCAAAGACTGGTACTAATCACAACTGAGTTTTACAATTTTTGATGGCTTTAAACATGGCATCTAATTTTTGTACTATTGCATCTTATTAGGTCTGTAGAATAAACTTCACAAAAAACTATAAATCAAACGACTCTAATGAATGCTGAAATCTAGAGAGAGTATAAAAATGAAGAAAGGTTTCAAATTGAGTCAGTAGTAACATAGCTTTATTTTCTGGTTTTAGCATTAGACCATGTCCTAACAAACACATAAAACAGTATAAAAAAACCATTTCTGAAAATCATTAGAAATTCATCCAGTTCCCATAAAATCTAAGCATGGACTATAGTAACACATATATATACCTTCCCTTTCAGGGAATAAGCACTCTTAAAAATTCTGAAGACAAAATATTAAACATTTTTCATTGGTATGTAGTCTTACATAACAAAATACTTCTAAAACAATTTCAATGAAATTTTATTAAAAGCCGAAACCACAATGTTTTGCCCAGTGTCCATGCTTTATCTCTCCTGCTGAGACCAGTCCTCAGATGGACACCACCTCTGCTCTTTCAACTCTTTCCCTGAATTCTTGCTGCTACCTCATTTTATAAAAAGCCCCATATATTGTTTCAGTCGATAGAGTCCCCTTTAGGGAATTAGATTAGAACTCATTGCATTAAAAATGTTTTGGGAGGCTGAGGCTGAAGATCAGATATAGAGCATACGCTTAATAAGGGTGAGGTTTTATTCTCAGAAAAAAAAAATTTAAATGGTTAACTATCACAATAATGTTCTTAGAGCACAAATCAGCTACACAATAGAAAAGTTTCTGAAAAGCATCAAATTCTTTCACAATGTTAGAATTAAAATTAATGCTATATTAAATCCTTTAAGAAAACAGTGAACTTCATGATAGATCTTTGAAGATTTAATTTGATTTCCTTACAAAAGCAAACCGAGCATTAACATGTACGTGAAGGGGCCATACATGTATGACAGCTCCAGCAGGCAGCCAGGTGTGAACCACCAGGGGTTCAAACCAGCAGGAACATGTTAATGACCTAATCCCACACACACCAATTTAAAAAATGTGTGGAAGTTGTTTTCTTTAAAATGAAAGAAATTAATACATTTACAAACTCTTAAAAAAAATGTAAAATTACCTGGAGATTTTGCAAGTGACGCATGGAATACTGAAAAATTGATCAATGCATATGAAGCAAGGAAGAAGTTAGAGATGATTGGAGCAATGACATTCAGTTCAGCTGCAAAATAAATGTGACAAATTAATGAGAGTCACTTTTTAGTTATGAAATATTCACACTTTAGGTAATACAGTACTGAAGAGCCTTACATCCACCATCTAGACTGAGAATTTACACTTTGCCATAAATACATCATATAGTATACTTTTCAGGAATCGAACTTTAAGTACACAGTTGAAACCTCCTTAATACTTCACAATTCTAAACTTGGTATGTTCCTTACAATCACAATTTATATATCTACAGTATACTCATATAACACATGTACAATCTTGAATTACACTGGATTGTTTGGGAAGTTTCAAAAGTGACACTATTTTTTATTCACCTGAACTTTTTAAAAATCGTATTTAAAATCCAGCCATATTACTATATGAAAACCAAGTTTACTCTTTAATGCTGCATATTGTTCTGTAGTTTCATTCTTATCTGATTTAACTTGCTTCCATTTTGCAGAATTATAATGATATCAGAACCATCCTTGAATACGGCAGTTCAGGCATATATGCAAGTTTCTCTAAAAGGCATGCACACCTAGAGAGCTGATGGATCGTGGGAAACCTTACTTCATGTTGCCAACGTGTTCTCCAAAATTAGCTGAATCAAATATATACCTAGCCACACTAAATATTTGCATATAGTACTATAGTAACTGATGGGGGATCACTGGACTTTCAGTATTAACCAATCTGAAGGGTTAGATAAATTCTTAAAACTTCAATGTCTTTTTTAGCAATGGAAGACCAACAGGCTCACATGTAATCAAAGGCAAAAAACAGATAAGTGGAAGCATTAGCTTTGTGGTGGATACTAGCATTTTTTCCCTTATGTCATTATTACATGTGGTTTAGGAACAAAAATACAGGCATTCCCTTTATCCCTGAAAGGGACTAAGCAACCATAACAAATTTAGCAATTATTTATTGAATGCTAGTATTTGCAATACTTACTTTGTATGTTAATTTTTTTGATTAGAAGGAAATCAACTTACATCAAGAAAAGTAACACTTTTGAATAATTTAATGTTTAGACTCTACTACTTAAGTGCATTAAAATCTACATTAATATACCATTTATATAACTAACCAATTAAGATGAATCCAAGTGCAATTAAGAATGTTAAGATATAACCACGAAGAGGTTCATTATTTTTTCCATAACCTTTTGCAAACATCTGGAAAGCTGGGTAGATGTTGTCCTTACAAAGAGCCTAAAGAAAAAATGCAAACATTAAAATGAACTATATCAAAATTAGACATACAAATTCATAATGGGTTAATCAGGAATGGAACCCAAGTTTTTGATTCTTATCCTCTTTCAACCCTGATTTTATCTGTCTTACCTCACACCCATGTTAAAATTCACCTGTTTATGACAAAAGAATCAGAGCAGCAGTCATACAAGTTGAAATATAATAAAAGTTAAGTTGGAAGACTGGTAACTATGATATAGGTGTGGTCTACCCTATGAAATCCAAGTAAAAATTCTACACTTAATACAGATAAAACAATTATATAAAACCCAATCACTTTTCTTATAATATTACTGAAATGGGTTTAAGAAATATATTCTACATCTTAACTTAATGGAAATAATATTAAGTAGGCTACATAATTAACATTTTTTGTTTGATTTATTAATAAAAACATTTCCTAATAGGTGTCAACTGTTTAATGCTCATTAAAGGAGAATGGTTTTATCCTATTCATCACTGTACCTTTTAGCAGTTAAAGCAATTTGAGGCACACATTAGGAATTCAAGTATTGTAAAATAAAACATGTCTGTCAAGTTAATTCTGCTAAGATATTTTATTACTTCTGTATTACATTACATATTTTACTTCTAATAATCCCTTACCATTTTTAAAAAGACAACTTGAAGACAGACAGATATCTATCAATCAATCTATGAATCTTTCTATCAGTGCTGAGGACTGAACTTGGTGCTTAGCATATAAGATCTGAGCTATACCCAGGCCCTTTCTTAAATTTTATTTTGAGATAGTGTATTGTTGATTTGCTTGGGCTGGTCTTAAACTGGCAGTCCTCCTGCCTCAGCCTCTAAAGTAGCTGGGTTTATATAGGCACGTGCCACCATGCCCTTGCTCTTGACAGTAGCTCAATGTAAAAATACTTATGATATGCTTGCACATGTGTATATCATACACAAGAGTTTACTAGGTCCAAGTTGAAAATCTAACTACTTTACTTCCCCCTAATGAAAGCCTATAATTTGAAAATACTTACCTGAAATATTTTGGGAGCACTCACAAGAGATGCTAATGCTGAAGAAAGAGTGGCTGAAAAGATACCTGCAGAAATTAATGGTGCGAATCCTGACACCATGCTCATTACCTTAAATAAAAGTGACAAACATGGAAAAAAAAATCTTAGAAACAATTTGAAAAAGAACAGTTATACAGTCACAACTTGATTACTCTAATAAAAACAACACGAAATAATTTGATAATAATAATATAATAGAAAGTACAGTAAAAATTTCTGAAGTAGATTTGCCAGTAGCACTTAAGAAAATCCTTTTATTTTATGTAATTATAAATATACACAAGAGTTTAAAAAGTGCCTAATGAAATTACAACTATTAATCACCAAGTTTCAACAATGACAAAGTTGAGGCCAATCTGCACATTATTTTTTTAAAAACCCCAGATATTTAATGCATAAATATTCTAGTATATGTCCCTACCAGGCAAAAGACTTGACAACTGCAACTACGAAGTTGCTGTCCCAGTTAAAACCTACTAAATCCTAGTCAGGTGTGGTGGCACACGCCTGTAATCCCAGCACTCAGGCGGCTGAGGCAGGAAGATCGCTGTGAGTTCAAGACCAGCCTGAGCTACATAGTGAGTTCAGGTCAGTCTCAACTACATAGTGAGACCCTGTCTCAAAAAAAAAACCAACCAAACAAACAAACAAAAACAAAAAACCTAGTAAGTCCTTAACAGGACACATATTTAGTAAGTAAATTTCCTCTTTTAAAAAAGTTTGCTCAAACCAAGATCCCAAAAAAGATTACTTTGTATTTGGTGGATGTTTCTTCAGGTCTTTTAAAATCTACAGGTACACTTTTTATTTTCATTTTATTATTACTTTTTTGTGATTTCTCCTTTAGAGATCCTGTATTCTAGAGTTTGCTGAGTATATTTTCATGAAAAAACAGAAAAGGCCGAGGACGTAGTTCAGAGTTCATCCAACTTGGACTAGTTTCTCGGTTTGATACTCAGTGATACAAAAAAAAAAAAAAAAGCCTCAAAGGTATTCACTGCAATGTTCCTTCTGTATCTCTGAAATCTTTCAACATATAAAATTGAGCTGAAGGAGCTATTTCATAGCTTCGAATACTGTCAACTGTACCTATCCACTATAAATTTCTCAGCAATGAAAGTGATTACCTAGGTTCATTTAGTTCAGTTATGGAATTTGTTTCATTTACATTGACTAAGAACATGACAACTGAGGCCTTGGGATAAGAAAATCAAGTGTTTACGACTGTGACACATGACTACAATTTAATACTATAAACGGATGGAAAGCTAGCTATGGGCACAGTTCCTGCCCATGACGCATAAGTCTAATTTCATGTATAAAATATCACCTTTCTTTACTTAAAATGTCTTTCTTTCCATCTTCTAGTAGACGTAAAGGCAATTCTTATTGCAAATGTTCTAAGAAACATCAGCATCAACCTTTCTGGGAAACTCTGAGAAAAAAACTTCTAAAGATAATTTTCTATTCAGCCCTTTAGTAACAATTTATTAGTTTCTTAAGAGCAATCTGTTATTCATAATGATTATTTTTCACAGTAATTAAAGTTAGATTATCTAGTGTTGCCCACTCTACCTTTAGGAAAGAGACTGTAAAGGACAGATAAAGTAAGCAACAATTAGAAATGAGACCAAGTTTCTGTGATAATACCACATTCCATGGTTGTTTGTAATGATCTCAAAGGTAAGTACAGGAGAGAGATAAAGCAAAAGACCGAGGAACAGAGAATACAATACATCCTACTTTGCTGGACTATCGCAGAACTGACCCCACCAAAATCTCATATAATTACAGTACTGTAGCTTTCATGTCAAAATTTAGTTTTCCCTACTATCGGCTCTCAATTATCATTTCTATCAGCTCAAAAAACGTATTTACTTAAATAAAACAGGAGCTTACTTATAACAAACTCCTCTTTGCTTGAGTGAGTCCATACTAAACTTGATAAAGACAATGCAGTTTTGTATTTTAAGGCAACAGTGCAGAAATCTGACTGGCATTCTCAGTCACTGGGCAGAGACAGGCACTTGTGTCTTTTATGCACAATATCAATGTCAGAATTGGCTTGACTCACTAGTTGCACATGAATACTTTCTTTCATCTCTACTATTTTGCTTAGTCTTGTGACTAGAAAACAAAGCCCTTTATTACATAACAGGGTCCAATATGTGTAACTACTAAAAGTACAGTCAATTGCTTGAAACTATACAACAGAAAATAAATAATGCTACCAGAAGGTTCATTTAAATATTTGTAACATTCACACATTCTACACTACACACTGAATTTTCAGTATTTTCAGATTCAGAATTATGGGAAGTAAAACTTACTTACTTAGACTCAGCAGTACATACACTCATTCACCACAGTATTTTGTTTTAATCCCAAGTCTATGTGTCTGTATTCTTTCTGCCATCCCAGAACTTGACAAACAGCTCTCAAATTCTTATCTAACCTTTTTCAGTTAAATTTTTCTAAGTTATATATTTAGCAGAATAAACTTTCATTTTATTTCTAATATCTCAATAGAGGTAATAAACAGCACAACTGAAAGTCTGCAAAACATGAGAAATAATACTAATTTTTACATAGTTCACATACTTTACAAGTTCACTAACTTTTCAAGCATTTTTTCAGAATTAAATTGTTAAATAGTAATTTCGTACAGAGGTCTCTAATTCCCAGACAGTCTGTGGTCTCCTGGGAAAGAGATGACACAGCAAAAGCAGGAGGTGAGCGGCAGGTGAGCAAAGATTTATTTGTATTTACAGCTTCTCCCCTTTAACTCGTGCCTGTCAGATCCGAGGCATTGATTCTTGTAGGAGCAGCAACTCTGCAATGAATTGTGAATGTGAGGCATCTAGGTCGCATTCCTATGAGAACCTAATGCCTAATGACTGGAGGTCGGGATGGGGAATGTAATCACTATGTATCATCATGAAAGAAGATGGGGGGGAGGAAGAGGAAGAACAGGAAGAACAGGAGGAGGAGGAGGAGACGATGATGAAACTCAACCTCTACTTCCATCCCCATGGAAAAGTTGTCTTTCAAGAAACTGGTCTCTCTGGTGCCAAAAAAGGCTAGGGACTGCTGGTTTGATACAATATGACTTTATATGGGTCATATCTAGTTAAGAAACACTGCTTTTGAGATTGATCAATGCTTTGAAAAAAAAGAAAGAACATTTATATATAAAGGCACTGTGGAAAATGGCAGTAATTAGCTGAACTCATTTCACTTAGCGTGGACTTAAGCTTCTCACAATAAAAATGAAAATACTTAGGTGTAAATCTAACAAAGTATGTACAATAATTGATGAAAGAAATCAAAGAAGGTACAAATAATTGGAGAGGGTTGGCACATTCAGCATTGCTATTTTCTTCAAATGACATTTAAGTTCAATACAACTTCAATCAAAATCTCAGAAAGATCCTTTGTAGATAAACAAGATTGTTTTAGACTTTTATAAGTAAGGCAAAGAAAGTAAAATAGTAAAAACAGTTTAGGAAAAGTATAAAGTAGGAGAAATCACCTTGTTGACTTGAAGACTTATGTAACTTCTGCATTCAAGAATGTGCCGTACCATGAAAAGACAGACAAAAGCTCAGTGGAGCAGAACAGAGTCCAGAGAGACCACACAAACAGGACTATACGCCACAGGCTTCACAGATGTCTCTTTGCTCTTCGATCAGTTTACTTACCTACTACATACACGTACTATAAACCACACCTTAATATAAAAGCCGAGCCCTAATGGGCTTTTTGCTAATAAACAGCCTCAGACTTGCTGTATTTTTCCCCCATTCATAATATAGTTTTGGGGGCATAAACTAACAACAGTCTTGCCTTCTAATACATGCTATATTCTGAGCAGTTAATTTGACAGCAATTTAATCCCCAGAGAAGTGCGGAAGATTTCTACCATACAGATTTGATGCAGGGGCTGGGGGTTTAGCTCAGTGGTTCCGGCAGCTGCCTCGCAAACGCAAGGACCCGAGTTCGATCCTCAGTACCAAAAAAAAAAAAAAAAATTGATGCTCACCTGAAAGTTGTTCATTAGGCCATAGGAACAAGGACTGCTTTCACAAGATGAAAAGTCAAAGTTTAATTTGCAGGCAGCAGAAGTACAGTTTGTGAACTCTGTTACAATGGTGTCATTAACGTTCCCAGTGGCATCTCGAACAACACAAGAACCTGAAGCACAAGGCGCAATGAAGATAATATAGCTAATATCTACTCTTTTTAAAGTTACATATTAGATAAGTACTCATAACAGCATATGCTGTATTTACAGTTAAGATAGCTCTGCCTTGCACAGAATTTGGAAAGCATCATGGGCTCCAATGTTTAAGTAATTAAATCAAATATTTTATTTATTTGTATTTTTTGAGACAAGGTTTCACTATGTAGTTCAGGGTGGCCTTGAACTCACTATGTAGCTCAGGCTGGCCTTGAACTTGCAATCTTCCTGCCTCAGCCTTCTGAGTGCTAGGATTACAGGTGGGTGCTACCATGTCCAGCCTCAAATATTTTATAAAGACTAATAATATTCACACATACTTAACCTTATGAATATCACCATGGAAAGTGGTATATTAGCAAAACTATTTTATAGCCAATGTGGTAAAGATATCTTTAAGCAAATATAAGAACTGTTGAAAGAGTCCCAAACAGAAATATTCCCCAAATATTTTATAAGTGAAACACAGCCAAAAATGAGGCTATAGGTAAAAATCAACTTTTCCTCAAATGTGATTATGTGATAATAAGACTCTGAGATTTGCTTTAAAAATAACCCATCAGACAGAGGAAGTACCATGTACTAACAAGCTTTGCTAAGTTTCTTAAAGTTAGATGATACGGTAGAAAATGTGTTCTGCTTTTGTGTAAAATTGAGAACTTACACAATAACATTTAAAATTTACACTGAAATAAGCACTTATCAGGAATAATATATAATATACAGTTAGTGGTAACTGCCATTCCTTAGAATATATATTTTACTCCCAGAAGCACTTTAGCAGGTGTTAGATCATATAAGAAAAATTATAGGCATTTAATAAGAATGGACAATAAACAGAAAACAAAGAGATGAAGAAAACGATAATAATTAGACACAGTTCTTTACTCTTCAGTTTCTTCCTATACCATTTGAAAATCACGTTTTTAATCTCTGAAACCACTGGAGTCAGCGAGCTGGTGAGAAGCAGAGTCTTGTGATTCTCATCTCCCCAAGATGGTTATGCTTCCATGGGCTTCCTATTTCAGTATTCTGTACCTTTGATCTCTTGGGTGAAAAAGTTCTCTTGCTTTGAATTACTTATATAACCACTGGAGTATAAAATGTCTCTGCAGATACAGCACTGAACATCAGGGAGAAGGGGCTAATCCTACTGCTTACAGAATAGTGTAAACAGAATTAAATAAATTAGAGCTAGCAATTTTACAGGTCAAAAAATATAAAATATTTATCTGTGGCAACAAATTATTTTAATAATTGGAATATCAGTTATATCATTCTTTAAAACTAAATTTTCTGTGGCTAGCATATGTATGATGTATATAAGCATGCTAGAAACATTTAAGGAACAAATCTGCTAATCATATATATACTATAGATATACATTTTCAAAATTAATTTCAGAGATTTATGTATCATTAATGATAAATAAAATTCAAAAATCTTTCTAAATGTCAATTCAGCATACTATACTGATTATAAATAGCCTTTAATAATGCCATTGAAAAGCAAAACAAAAACCTCTTTGCCATGAAAACAATTACTTTAAGGAAGTACATTATCTTTGGTAGCAAAATCTGAGTTTTGATTGCTTCATCTAAATAGGGATTCAGAGAGTAGTTAACACTTAAATCCTTTTAAATTCTAAATGATATGACTCCATAAATGTAAGAAAAATGTTTTAAAATCATTTTCATTCAATTTAGTAAGCTTTTAGGGAAACAGTTTTCATTCATCTTAGTATGTCCTATTCTTTAAAATCAGTGTTTTTACTGTAAAAAAGGCAGGGGGGACTGCTTAATAGTTTCGATAATGATTTTATTATGAAGCTAGAACTAATCGCCAAAATAAATAAAAACCGATGAGTAAAATTCACTTTCACATTTGAAATATTTTTAAACTGTGAAATTTAAGAGTTTACAGATATAATTTTACATATTTTTCTAACTTCTGTAATAAATCCAAGAAAATATTAAAGTATTATTGGTTTAATGTCTGTAAGTCACTACCAGCTTTCTTAAAACTTTAAAAATTAAATAAACTCTATGTATTTATATTGAAATGTTTCTCAATACAGAAGTTAAAAAATACCATGAAAATATTTACACTACGTACACTATAAAATTTCTGAGACACAATGAAATGGAAGGCTATTTACCTACAGATACTGCAATTCCTACGTAAACCAGCGTTGTAATTAAAATGGCTAAGAGTGTTCCTTTGGGTATGGCTGACTGAGGATCCTGGAATAGAACAAGACTTTTTTAAGTCTCTTAAAAATAAAGCACACATACACACACATATATACATAAACACATATAAGTTAAAATATATAGACATATAATTAATGCAGTACTTTGTAATACTTACTGCAAGATCACCTGAGATATTTGCTCCAGCTAGAATACCAGTTGCAGCAGGAAAAAAGATGGCAAATACTGAAAAGAAAGTCTCTTCATCTCGAAAATCTGGTCCAAAGTTCTCATTAAAAATTTCAGCTAAGAGAACAAAATATTTTTGGCAATTAATGGATAGCAGATTAGACTATAATAATTTGGGTCAACAGTAATTAGTATATATGATCCCCAAGTTTCCTTCAGTTCAATTAAGTGGTAAATTCTTGTATATTTTCCTAATTCAAGTATTAAATGTTCCTCTTTTCCTGTATGAGTGAATGACTCACAAAATGACCTGATCTGGATGGATCATATCCAACTTTTTTGTGTACACTGACAAAAATTTTTTAAAAGATTGTTTATTGTTATCACTACTTCAAATACAAATCAAGGTGTGAATTAAACCTTTAGTCTCAAGGGGTGGAAGAAATAAGAATAAAAATACACAAATAATCCAGAAAGATAAACAGAATGAAGATAAAAAGATAATCCAGAAAGGTTTCTTCCTCCATTACTTTCAGCTTACATTCTTATCTGTATAGGTTTCAAGTCCTTATCTTTTATCTATTTCTTAATGGTGATCTGTGTCAAATAATTTGAGCTAAGGAACCCAAGTAAACATTCTTTCTACTTCAACACTAATGAATGCTTCAGGTGTTCCTACTGTATATATCTAAAGACAGGTACCAACAATAAAATAACATGGCCATTTTCAAATATTTGATGAATATGTATCATATGCCAGGTTCTGTATGAAAGCTAGTTAATATGTCACAGTGCTCAGGGATACAAAATGAATAGGCCAAACATAGTGCCTGCCTTCAAAGAATGGGAAACTTCTACAAAATAGATAGAGAAATAGGTCAGTACAAACAGCAGTAAATACAGTGGTAGAAACAGGGTGTTGCAAGAAAAATTAAAAAGAAAAGAATCTAAATTGGTTTGATTACAGAAAGCTAAAGTCATATAACCAAGAAGACAATATTTAGGCAAACATTTTACAGAACAGAAACCAGCAATGTGATGATAAGGAAAGAGCATGCTAGGAATGAGAAACAACAGGCATACTTCTGAGGTAGGAAAACGCTCAGCTCTCAGAGTTCTTGTAGTAAGAGAGCAAATGAAACGAGACTGGAGACATCGGAGGGAGTCAGGTTATGCAAAATTTTACAGATGTTTAAATTTTATCCTAAATAAAATGGAAAGCCAGGGTATAATCAGAAACACAAATGGCACGATCTGAGTAATGTATGGACAATGGCCTGAAGGGGTGAGCATCTGAAGCAGAGACCAATCAGGAGGTTGCTGTGGCACTCCAATCTACAGGCAGGGGACGAGCAGACTGACTAGACAAGGGTTAAAAGGGAAAGGTGGGTAGGAAACAGGAAGCATCGAGATCCTGGTTTCTTCTACATGCAGAGACGAAAATCTAAGAAGGAATAAATAGGAAGGACATCAAGCACTTAGATATGCTGTATACATATGTTTGGATTTTAAATGTGATTTAAAACAAAGCACATCAGTCTCTCAATAGTGATTCTAAGACATATAACTACATACTACCAAATAAAAAACGTTTAACTGGAAGGACAGGACCATACTCTGCATAAGTCTGCAAAAAAGATAAAGGATAAAAAAAAGATAAGGAATAATAGTGGCCTACACATTAAGTGAAATACCAAGTGTGTCTGACACCAACTAAAACAAAAGAATCATTTCAAGGACAAGGAACAACTAAGGAATTTTGCTGAGGCAGTGGTTAAAAAAATTTCACAATGAATCTTGCACCATGGGGTTGTGACTTTCTTAGACAGAAGGCAGTAAGAGGGGCTAAGAAGAAATTCATTTAGTTCTGGTTTTATGGGGAGCAAGCTATGTACAGCCTCTAAGTATCAACTCTGCAGGATGCTTACTTCTTACAAAGAAGAAAGTGGTTATTTCCCAACAGCATAATCTCCGGGTATCACCATGGTAAAGTAATAACCATCAACCCCTCAGAAATGGAGAAAGCATGCATACCTTCTGATACAATTCACTGAGAGCCCACCAAAAAATTTTTGAGCTATATCCCAGCCCTTTTAGTTTTTTGGTACTGGGATAGAACTCAGGACCTTGAGCTTGCAAGGCAGGCAGCGACACCAATGAGCAAAATCCCCAGCCTATCAGGTGATGTTTCTGACAAAATGAATTACCTGAATCTACTGGAAAAAAACAGATAAACCCAACTGCAAAAGATAAAACACAAATGGCCTAACCCATACTCTTGAAAAATACCAATACTGTGGGGAAAAAAAGACTGAAAATTATGTAAAATATGCTTTAAAAAAAGGGAAACTGACAAGATGTGGTAACTAAATGTAACACGCACTTCTGGACAGGAATAATAAAAATTGCTACCAAGAGATCTGGGGAAAATTCATAAGTGGATTATATGTTAGAAATTACTACGGGGGGCCGGGGATTTAGATCAGTGTTGCTGCTGTCTGCCTCGCAAGCATGAGGTCCTGAGTTCAACCCCCGGTACCAAAAAATAAATACATAAAATAAGCTAGCTAGCTAGATAAATAAATAAATGACTACGGGGCCAAAGGTATGTTTTCTGGATTACTCTTTTCCTTAGTAGATACAAACTGAAGTATTTATCTTGATTAATATAGAAAAAAAAACAACAACTAAGAATAAAAAAGTTTTCACAACTTGTGAACACAGATAAAGTATACAAAGTTTACTGTATAGTTTTTGCAAGTTTTCTACAGGTTTGGCTGTTTGGAAATAAAGAGAGGTAAGGATTTGAGAAACCTGTATATGAACTGAAACTAAAAAAGGGAAGTAAAAGACAAGAGACAGCATTTCCAAGAATAAGGATTACTAAAGCAAGCTTATAATTCAAAGACAAAAATTTTGCTACAGGGAAACTAGATTATCAAAACACAAAAGAACATAAAAGAAAGTAAAACAGCAGCAGAGGCAACAACGTTTGGCAAAAGACAGTTCTTACATCACAAAGGAAAAAATAAAAGGATGAAATAAAGACCACTATTAAGTAGTCATGTGAACTGCCAAGCTTATCAACAGGACCTGTGTTCTCCCTCAACACTTCCTCAGTACAATGGGTAAGAGGAGAGTTGGGAGCCGGGGATGTAGCTCAGCAGCACAGTGCCCGCCTGGCAAGCACAAGCTAGGCCCTGAGTTGGATTCCCTGTACCCAAAAAAGAAAAGAGGAGAGACGAGCAGCACCAACAACCTAGAAAGGACCCATCCTAAAGTATATTTACATTTATTAGCCTCAGATTGAGACAAGCCCAAGAATGCTACCTGAATATAACATACACTATGATAATACTATAGAACTATGTAGCACCTTTATAAATTATCAGGACTCTGAGAAAAAGGAAATGAAAAACATGGATTAGCAGGTATTTGCAGGTATTTTTCAATCAGTTCATATTCTAAGAAGAGAATGTATAATCACTGGAAATATTTTTAGAAGTAACCATACATGATAATTTTAACTTTTTAAAAAAGTGTTCAAAAATGTGTATTAAAAAACTAAAGTGCCGGGGATTTAGCTCAGCAGTTCGGTGGCCTGCCTTGCAAGCGTTAAGGACCCGAGTTCAATCCCCGGTACCAAAAAACAAACAAACAAAGAAACAAAAAAAACTAAAGTGAAAAAAGTACTCACAACTAGAAGAAATGTCACAAATACTCAGGAGAACTGAAAGTAGGTCTTTGGTTTTAGGGTTTAAAAAAATTTCATTTCAGCCAAATGAGGCCAAGCCTTTCTGCTCAACAGCAACTAATCCTTCAGGGAAAGGTTCAAAGTTGCTCAATTAGGTGGGGAAAGGATAGGAAGGGTACTGATAAGACCCTGTAGGAAATGATAAGTAAATTTCACTAGAAATGAAAGCTATCTTTTCAAATGAAAAGGGTTAATGAAGACAAAAACTAAGAAAAATTTTCATATCATTAAAGACAAAATGTAGAACAACTTAAACCGCAATTAACACCAAGAAACCGCAACTTCTAGCTGCTTTTATAAACACTTTTAAAATGTTGCATGAATTCCCCATGAGGAACGTACACATTATGTACCTCAAATGTGTACCCCTCACAAAAACAGAGGGCCATCAAGAGAGGGACAGAGGAAGGTGGGAGTGGAAGACGGGAAGGAGAATAAAAGAATAAGACATACCATGTACACGTACCAACTCCCCACAGGGATGGAAACATTAGGTTTTAAAAACACGTTCTAATAAAAAAGTAAGTAAAATGCTGTATTTAAATATATTCATATGCCAAACAGTGATATTGTGGTCAACGACAGTCTATACATATTACAGTATTCCCTAACATTGTATCACTTAGTCACCTTCAAGGGGTCTCGGCTTAATTATACTTTATGGTATTTGTACAAAAAGAGTTCACCTAGTCCCTAACAGGCACATTTCTCACAATGTGTTCACATCATTAAAAAGGGCACATAACTATACTAAAAAAATGAAAAAGTCATATTAGAACAAAAATTACAAATCACCTAAAGTAGGAGAGGTCAAAAGAAGTTTTTCTATATTCTGTATCACCTTTTGTTGCTAATACAAAAGATGAAAGTCAGTAATATTCTAATTGTACAATCTACGTAAATGGAACAAAAACTGAATTGTGAATTAATGCGAATCACCAGACCAAGCGCAATTATATTAAAGTCACTTAAAATGTACCAAATTTACTGTAAAGAATGGCTATAATGTAGACCCTTTAAAAAGCATTCAATCTGTTTTTACTTACATTTATAACTAAAGAAACCTTTGGACTTCTTGCTCTCCAATGGAATAAAGGTTCCTATGATGAAATCAGCAATGGCAAGAAGTAGAATCACCAAAAGAACAATCTGAGCCTGTAATTTCAAACATTAAAATTCAAAATCAAATGCCTTGTTCCTATACTTTTTTTCAGTTCCAGTAAAATATAATGTCCAGGAGGGAAAAGATTTATAACTTGTTTCATCTATTTCTCCAGTGCCTGAGTGCCAAGGACAAAGTAGGTGCTCAACAAAGTGGTTTATGGAACAAACAGTTCTTTAACAAATGATCTAAATAATCAATTCACTGGGAAAGTGGACAATAAAAGTAGGATTATGCCACAGATTCCTGAAATGACATGCGCATACCTTCCCACAAACCTTAAATCACTAGAATTTATAAAACACTGTAGGCTTTTCATCCTATATAATTATTTTCTGCGTCCTCCTTATAATCATCTTGACAGAGAATACATTTGACACCAAAGTTTTATGCTGAGTCAAACCATACTGGTAAATGCCTGACTATAGTAAAAGAAAAGGCAGAGCAAGAAGCCAAAACAGATGAGGGGAATTCAAGGAGAAAAGGGATTGCAGGGAAAGAACAACCTGTGGGAATACTTCTCTTCTTCACCAACTTTAACCTCTCAGTAAAGCTGGTAACTCATTCAAAACTGTGTCATCTGCAAGAGCAAGAACTACTCACATGCCATTCATGTCCTAGGTAAAACGAAGTGCTATTCTTTTCAGTAAAGAGAATTTGTTAAATCTTCAAGTAAATGAGGTGATGGGGTCTAGCTCAGTGGTATAGCATGTGAGGCCTTGAGTTCAATCCACAGCACACACACTCCCCTCGCCCACAACACACAATACAAGTAAATGACTTAATTTTATACTACGACAGTACAATAAGTAACGAGCCTAGAAAGGTATTATTCTTGCAGACTTAACTAGTTTTTGGTTTGGTAAATATTATCATATCACATATAGCACAAGTGTATGTGCCTCAAGATCTATAAAGTAAACAGGAAGAAACTTGGGACTTTTTAGTTACTCAACAGCATTTTTGAGGATATCGATCACTCAAGAAACCGGAGTTGTATTGTAACCTATTCTACCCTCAAAAATATGGAAGCATTTCTGGGTGCCCTGCCTATAGTTTACTGCTACTTCAGCAGTATTTCCCAAACACTGTGGCATTTGCTTCGGAAGTCATGACTTCTGAGATTTCAATTAGCAAAAGGCAAGAATAGCTTCTTTAACAACATGTAGGTGTTTACATTTAGGTACTGCCAAATTTATTTTTAAACTGAACTTTTAAACAAGCTACAAAACCCACCAAATACACTTTGGCTAATATTTTGAACTGAGTATTTCTACATAAGTTGGGAGGGTGGGTGGGGAAGGTAAGAAGTTCAAAAGTTAGTGGAACTAGGGAACCAAACACAGCCCAGTGGTACGCTTGCCTAGTATGTGCAAGACCTTGGGCTCAATTTCTCTACACAATCAATGTAAAAACAAATAAAAACAAAAACCTTAGAAAATTCTGTGAAAATGGGCACTCAGGTACCATTGGAATCTGAAAACAATAACATTTAAGAGTGTCCCTAAGATAAAAGCTTTAAAACTTTATACATTAAATATTTACAGCTATTCCTGTGACTTACTTTTGCTTCCCACTCCATTCCAGCTATTGAGATACCTAAAAGAATGACCACTGTAATAGCTCCAATAATTCTGATGTCATTGATTTCATCTATCATAAGTATGGAATGTTCCTAGAAAATAGAATGATATATATAATGAGCAAAAGCACATTTTATGTAGATGTTGAATAAATGCTTCTACATGAAATGATGGGAGAGCTAAGGAAAAAAACGAATTACTACTGAGATGTCATTCAAGTATCAATTTGTTGTGTCTGACATCCAATATATGATTTAATTATTCTTTAATACAATTATGATTTAATATATGATTAATCATGATTTAATACAATACTGGTATATTTAGTATAGACTCAAATAAAAACTGCTACCAAGTGAAACAATTATAACGATTAAATAGAACAATATCGCTGGTTAAATTTTTCTATTAATTGACACTGCACGTCTTTTAAGTGACATTTTGTATTCAGTGTGCTATGCTTCTGATGCTTTTATGTTGCATGCGAAGAGATGAACACACCTTCAAGCTACTGTCAAGAACATACTGTTCTCATTATAGAAGCAAAATTATTTTCACTTACTCTAAACTTTTAAAAGAAGTTCCTATGTGGATTAAAATTGAAGATTATGGTGTCTCTCTCAACAAAGTAATAAGAAATGCATGAATTATCACTTCTCAAACAAGATCAATAAAAGGCACAAAAACTACAACCTAATTTATTTCTGATAACTCAGGATAACTGTGTTACAACTATCATAGTACAATTTCTGTTGTTGTTTATTCTAGATAGGGTCTCTATGAGTGCAGGCTGGCCTTGCCCTCTCAATACCCTCCTGCCTTGGCCCACGAGTGCTGGTATTGAAGGCGTGCGCCACCACGCACAGCTATAATGACACTAGTAAAGTTATTTCTTTTGCAGAAAATTCTTGAAAGTCAACTGCGGGAAGGAACATTTTCCTTGAATTCCAGACAAATGAGCTTACTCTAAAGATTATTAAAAAATACCCTGGATCCAAAAACATTCTTGCCAACCAAAGGCACAAAAGTGTTAATAATATTTAATATAATAGGAAAAGGCATTTTCAGTTTTTTATTTTCAAGGCTAGTATTTAATTTCATAAAGGAAGTATATATACTTTTTGCCTTGCAAAAAATTTTCATTAGGTATGTTTTGAAATTTACATAACTTAGTCTGACATTTCCAATAGCATTTGGATAATGATAGTTGAGAATTACTAGCAGGAGAAAAAACATAAAATCATAGTATAAATATATTATCTCTTGATTGGTTTTTAGATGCATGGATCATAACTGCAATAGAATACAATTATAGCTCAATATTTTACATATTAAACCTAGTTTAAAGAGCCTGCTTCAAATTCATTCAGACATGTCTAAATTTAAATTTCCACGAAACACTTCTAAACCTTAAATACCCTTTAAGAACCCAAACAGTTACAGCCTAACATAAACATCTAGGTGTCACCTGAGGTTCTTATTTAATATGAAGGATTCCTAGTTCACTCCTATTTAATTGCACATATCCCAGTGACTTTTCAAACAAGTTCACTTCTATCCAGAGCAATACACACTGCCAACTGCCTTCTGGCCAGATCTGTTCTGATATGCCTCTGGTTCCTTAAATCAACATATCCAATAGTAAACTGTACACTCTTTTTCACCTTCCATCTAAGTCCCCAAGTAAGAAATGTACATAAATATGAAGCCCTCTACTTTCCTCTAATTTCTCACATCCCATTAATCATTCCAATTCATTAAAATACAGTACCTCCAAGTCAGCACACCTCTCCAGCCCCACTGATTCCAATTTAACGTAAGTCACTATCTCTGCTCCTGGGATAGCTATAACCTTTGAGATGCTCCCTATTTCTAGCAGAAACACTTCAGTCTGTTCCCTTTTCCAGGTCAGCTATTTCTTTAGGCCCCAAATCATACCTTGTCATAACCCCCAATTCCAATCAAATTAAAAGCCCAAACGTTACTGCAAATAAGATCTCTCTTGACTTGATTCTTTTTTCCTCTCACTAGACTTTAATGTCCCAACTATACTGCAGTATTTGTGCTTTTCTTAATATACCACACTTATTCTTCCCAGACCTTTGTTTTTTCTTCCCAATCTCCTTCATACCATACTTTTCCTATTTGCCTATTACACTGACTGCCTTTCCTCAGAAAACCCTTCCTAGCTGCTCTTTTGCTACCGCGTTCCTGAAGAGTAATTAATTACCTGCCCCTCCCCTCTCCCCTCTTCGTGTCCCGCAGGCCTCCTATGCTGCTGGCACGTTCTGATCATCTTCTTGTCTACTTCTTACTTTCTTGAAGGATGAATTTCCAGGCCATCACATCACTGGTTTCCTAGCCCTTAACACTGTGAGTGGCACACAAATCATCGAGAAAGTTATGGTATATGAAAGAAAAGGTGAATTACCTTAAGCAACTCCACCACAGTTTCTGCAAATCCAACCACATACATAGCAACTGCGACAGCATTGGCAAAAGCAAAGATGAGGCCAATCGCACCACCAAACTCTGGCCCTAGACTTCTAGATATTAAATAATATGCTCCTCCTAGAGAAAAGAAGAAAAAAATGTAAAAGTTTAGATTTAAAATGCCAAGCAATCCTATTACCTCCAAAAAACCACAAAGCAGATGCCTCCAGTAAGCACAGCAGTTAAACAGGCAAGTAGCTGAGTATGTTTTCAGGAAAAAACACCCAAAAGATTCTTTACAATGCACTTTTTATTCACTAATCGTTCCTAAGATTCTGAGAATTCTCCTGTCAAATTTAAAACCATCCTACTTAAGTCCCCATTTTCTTGTTTAAAGGTTAAAACAGCTACTTCTTTATATTCAGATACCAAGCTCATTTTCCAATATATTTTAACTTTTAAAATCACAGTTGACATGATTTCAATTACTTAAAATATTATAACAATAATGTGAATATCAAAGCAAAACAAATGAACAACAAAAAAAAAAGTCTCACAACAAACTGCAAAGAAAAGCATACAGGGCTGGGGATTTAGCTCAGTGGGGCTGCTGCGTGCCTCACAAGCGCAAGGTCCTGAGTTCGATCCCCAGTACCAAAAAAAAAAAAAAAAAAAAAAAAAAAAAAAAAGCATACAATGAATAACACACCAAACAGGTTGAATCTGTACTCCAGTAAATCCTGCCCAAATGGCAAATTAAACTATGACATTACGTCAACTATCATAAAGCAAGTACTTTCCTAACCTCAAAAACAATAAAACCAATACTACTATTTGGGGCCAATATTTTGCTTTCCAAGGTCTCTTTAAGAACTCTTCTAAATTTCTAATTTAATCTGGTCTCTAGGTCTTAAACGAAACAGGTTTAATAATACCAAAGCTATATAAAGTTACATACATATTTCTACATACTAATATGATGCTTAGTTGTTAAAGGTATACAGTAAAATGCCACTGGGCTGGGGATTTAGCTCAGTGGTTCCACCACCTGCCTCACAAGCACAAGGTCTGGAGTTTGGTCCCCGGTACAAAAAAAAAAAAAAAAAAAAGCCATTAAACAGCTAAATATTTATTTCACCTGATATACAGAAGATATATGCAATAAAAATTCTACATTGTGATAAAGTACTAAACATTTAAACTTCACTTTGGAAATAGCAGTAATACGTTTTGTGGTTGTGACCAATTTTCTCAAAATATTCTATCCTTTAATCCTCTCCATCTAGAATTTCCCTACTCATTTTACCAATTATTTTCAGCGCAGGAATTCTAAAGAAAAAAATGTATTCTTCTGGGTCTGGTGGTTTATGCTAATAATCCAGCTACAGGGAAGGATGAAGTAGGAAGATGAGAAGTTCAAGTCCACCTTGGGAAATTTAACAAAAACACATCTCAAAATAAAAACAAACAAACAAACAAAAAAATCAAGGGCTGGTGTATAGCTCAGTGGTAGAATGCTTGCCTAGCACCTGTGAATCCTTAGCTTTAATCCTGTGTCACCAAGGGGTAGGGGTGTGGAATCTAACCACTAGCATTAGTATCATGATTTTTTTGAGATTAAAGTAATTTAAATTTTTCCCAGAAGTATTTATGAACAATAAAGATTTCAATGAATTTATATGACAAATAAAGCTTTCAGAATAAGTTCTGAAGAATGAAATCACCTTGTAATTAATCATAAATTCCTGGAACATTGTAATTGTCACAGACATGTGTTTTGAAAACGTTTGCAAAATTAAGAATTTCTTCATTACTCTCAATACCAATAATGTATTAAGACAAGTGTCATTCTAATTTTACAGATAAAAAAATTAAGTTACAAAAAATGGTCAATTGCTATCAATCATTTGTTTGTTCTCATGGACACAGAAACTTTACAATACAAAATATCACTAATACGACCTGTAAAAGCAATTATGCACTAATTAAACAACATTTAAAAGGAATTAATTGGTTATATGCTTTAAAGTTTTTACTTTATGTTATGGTAATTTTGATATATCAAAATTATCTTAAATTTTTCTAGAAATTGGGATACTAGAACTTAATACCTAAAATTCAGTCTTGTTTCTTTAAAAAATTTTTGTATTCCATTTTTAAGAAATGAGTGAAGGAAGATGGGACAGCAGAGCTTGAGGCTCCTGCTGGTGTGAAATGACCGAGTGTAACTGGTGGTGCTGGAGAGGTAGCGTTGGGAGACACACTGACAATACAACTAGTCCAGAACCACTTTGCTGATGAATACGATCCCATCACAGAGAATTCGTACCAAAAGCAGGTGGTTATAGACGGTGAAACCTGTGTGCTGGACACTCGACAGGAGGAGTACAGTGCCATGAGAGACCAATACACGAGGGCAGGTGAAGGCTTCCTCTGTGTGTTTGCCATCAATAGTAACAAATCACTTGCAGATATTAACCTCTACAGGGAGCAGATTGAGCGAGTAAAAGACTCAGGTGATACACCTATGGTGCTGGTAGGAAACAAGCGTGACTTGCCAACAAGGACTGTCGACACAAAACAAGTCCATCAACTGGCCAAGAGTTACAGAATTCTGTTCACTGAATCCTCAGCTAAGACCAGGAAGGGTGTTGAAGACGCATTTTACACACTCATAAGAGAAAAACACCAGCACAGAATGAACAAACTCAACAGCAATGATGATGGGACTCAAGGTTGTATGGGGTTGCCATGTGTGGTGATGTAAGAAGACACCTTCTCCAGCATCACAAAACAGCCACTTTCAAGCTGCACTGATACCTTGGATCTTGACTTTCCTGGAGAAGTATCTCTGTTGGCTCTCTTCATGTCAGAGAAACTTCTGCTATTTCCTCAACTCAGTATATGAGCACAGTCTCTACCTGAGAACTTCTCAGAATAACTAACTACCTCTATTTGGTTGTCTGACCAGAGAAATGTACCTCTTGCTAATTCCCTGGTAGTTTTTATGCCCTGTGTTCTCCCCAAGAAAAACAAACACCTCTGCCACCCAGGTTTTTCATCCAATAAGCAACTCATGTTCTGAAGCAGAACCAAACTATAGGCATGAAATTCTGTTAAGTTTTTCAGGCTCTAAGTAGCAACCACTGGTGATCTTTATTTGTTTCTGATTGGTTGGTTTGTAGTGTTATTAGCTCTATTCTACAAAATGGCATCTGCTCTGTGTTCATAAATACAAAAGTGAAGCCAGGCATGGAGAGGCACATGCCTATGATCTAAACCATTTGGGAGGCTGAGGCAAGAGGATCGTAAGTTCACAGGCAGCCTGGGCAATTTGGTGAGACACTGTCTCAAAAATCGATAAAGGAATAAACTGGCTGGGTTATTTAGTGTTAGAGCGCTCCTGAGTTCAGTCCCAGTACTCAAAAGAAAACAGTAAGTACAAATGTGATCACCAACTTTTGAGTCTATCCTGGTCTTTTATGAAATTTAATCCAACTTCGACAACAAAGTGCCTTTTTCCTAGAAGTGGTTTGTAGACTTCCTTTACTGTCCTTAAGTAGAATAGAGGTTTCAACCATTATATGTGAAAACACCTGTGACCCATCTATCTTTGAGGGAAAGACACACCTATATAATAGCAGACGTCATTTCTTACACTTATGAAAATTGTTTTTCAGAGGCCCATTTCAGGGCTTTCCCCAGAGAAAGATGAAACTGGAAACAATTATGAATTTTCACTTAATTTTTCTCTAATCTTTCCTTTTTTATATATTACTGCCTACAAATATAAAATTTATTTCTTCTAGCATATTGATAAGTTCGGGCCATACCAGCATTTGCAGTTATTACAGTACTGTAAAAATTGGATAGTGTTGGCTTATTTTATCTGTGATCGGTGATTTTCAAACCTCAAATACATTAACAGGCAAACTACATTTTCACCACGTGTCGTACTCTCGACGACGCACACAACCGCCCTCAGTCCCCTCTCCTGTCATTCTCTGCCCCCACCCCCACAGCAGCAAGAGCCTGAATCATTGTTTCGGTTGTGTAAAGCATGGTGTTAATGGACCACGGTTTCAAAATTTGAACAAGCCAGCCAGCATCATTTGATCCTAACTCTGGATTTGCTGGACCCCTGACGTTAGTTCCACAAGGAAAAAAAAGAAGTCCGTTATCATGAGTGCTTTACTGGGACTGGAAAAGCTTGGTATCCTAAGGAGGCTCAGGTGAGAAGACTATACATAAAGTATTTCGGAAATCTCCCCCTCTTTTTGTTAGCCATATGGAAAATAAGCCAGTATCTTTTCCTGGTCTTTTGAGAATAAGGATGCTTAGTGGTGTTTTCGTTTTTTAAGTCTCAGTTTTGGAGGGTGTTTTTTAGGGTTTCTGTGTGTGGCTGTGGTTTCTGGTTTCCAAAACTGGGGACTGAACTCAGGGTCTTTGCACTGAACTACATCCCCAGCCCTTTTATATTCTGAGATGGGGACTCACTAAATTGCCCAAGCTGGGCTCAAACTTGGAGATCCTCCTGATTCAGCCTCCGAGACTGCCGAGATTACAAACATGCTTCTATGCCTAACTCTCAACATCAGTTTTTAAAATTATCTTTATGAATAATGTTTTTTAAAGGGTTTTAAACAGTTGTTCATAAATTAGCTGGCATTTCAGAAAACAAAAGCTGGTGAGCTTGTTCAAAACAAGAAATAGCCTTTGGATTGAAATTGCTATTTGAGAAAAGAGTAAAATAATATAATTAACTTGTTAGTTATGAGGATATGTATTTCCATTTGCAAATAATACCATGGTAATTTTTTTCCCCTTTTTTGTCAGTACTGGGGATTGAACCCAGGACCTTACATACGATAAACAAGTAGTGAGCCTTCTACCCATGAGCTGCATGCCCAGCCCTGGTAATTCTAATGAAAAATAGATAAATTCTGATGAAAGACTAATTTTAAAATGGCTACTTTCAGTTCTTCTATTTAAATACTTAAGAGGTCCATTATCTCCTAATATGAATTTTCATTTATTAACCAAATTCCACATTACCTTGAAATTAATTCAGAAGAGAAGAAACACGTCCTGTGCCCAGAGAACAATAAACCTGGAGAGTTGCGTTCCCTACTGCTGGAAGCACATTCACAGTAGAGTTCTCATGTGTACATTAACTCTCTGCTGCTTTGTTTCTGCCCCCTTTCAAGCAATGCTTCGTCATTTTCCTGAGGTAGACTGAGGTTTATCACCTCAGTCACGTTCCAAGTTTCTGTGTGACTGGTTTTAAGTATCTTTTGTGACTACCAGTCTAACCTTTTCTAAAACTTCTACTAAATTCAACACCAAATTAGGGAGAAAAAGTTACTCCTTAGGCCCTGATGCCCTTAGCCCTAGTATATTATGCATCTATACTTTCCTCAAGTGTGTTCTAAGCACAGAAGTATCCAAATGGGGAATTTAAACTTGAAAATGGTCTTTTAATAGCTTCTTTAAAGTTACACTTAGGTGTGAATTTTGGCACAACAGAGTGACAAACAGTGTTAAAAGCAGAGTAAGTTCAGATAGTGTGGTATAAAATACAGTTTGTAGAGTAGGTTTACAATTGCTGAAAATGTAGTTTACCTCAGAATCTCAACTTCACTTTCTCCAGTATAAGTGGCTGGCCAGCTGTCAGAAATTATGTAATTCCTTTATGATTTAGTTGTATACGTGTATGTGTTCTTATACAGTTGTACCACTGGAGAGTGTGAAAATAAGATGTTCTGTCTGAAGGCTGCCATGCTTAATCTGAACCTGCTATACACTGTATTTGCTCCAGTAGCTTACTGTGGACAATTAACTTGGTAACATACAGTCGGTTCTGTAGGAGCACAGTAAATCAGACGAATCTATATCAGTGGGTCCCCTGTCTATCTTTCAAACTGCTGTGAATTTTTGTCATGACTTGAAAACAAAGACAAAAACTTTAAAAGAGATTTGGGCTTCTATTTTTTTCTCATGCCAGAATTTGTGAGCATAATCACATTTTGCTTTGTATTTATAGTCATGAGCTCTTAAGCTGGCAGCCACCGAGAACCAAAAAATGGTGCATTCTGCTTCTTGTAATTCATCTCTGCTAAGACATTACAAGAAGCAAAGATAACTGGGAAAACACACAGCATCAAAGGCCCGCTCCTCTGAAAGACTGGTTTTGTTGTAATGTGGTCCTGAGGATTAAACAAAGGACCTCTGCACCGAGCTACACCCCTAACCCTTATTTATTTTTTAATTTTCAAATAGAATCTCACTAAGTTGCAAAGCTGCCCTAGTTGGGCTTAACTCTGTGACCCTCCAGCCTCAGTTTTCAGAGTGCTGGGGTTACAAGTGTGCTACCCTGCCCAGCTAAGACTTGCACTTTTACTATCAGCATATAAGTAAACCAATGAGTACGTACAGTGGTAACTTGATTCACCAACTGAATTTGTTTTACGATTTGGGGGAAGATGGCCATGTCTCTATTTGTGTGGGGAAGATGGCCCTCGTCATGTCTGTCACCTGATGTAGAGTTTGTGCATGGAAGCAATTTCGTTGACTAGCTTTTTTTTTTTTTGGTACCCGGGATTAAACTCAGGACCTTGAGCTTACATGCAATGCCACTGAGCTACATCCCCATACCTTGTGGAACACTTTTGAGAACTGAATTATTTGGGAACAGAAGCATTTGTGAACCAATGTACTACTGTACTGTTAAAAACTATTAGCTTTAAACCAGACATAGTGGCGCACGCCTGTAATCCCAGCACTCGGGAGTCTGAGGCAGGAGGATCACTGTGAGTTCCAGACCAGTCTGGACTACATAGTGAGTTCCAGGTCAGTCTCAACTACATAGTGAGACCTGTCTCAAAACCCGCCCCCCACAAAAACATTAGCTTTAGAAAAGTTTATTATCTTCATCTTCATTTTATAACAAGAAAATTAAGGCTGAAAGGGGTCAAGTATTTGGCCATGGTAAATCAAGAGGTGTAGGCTGAAATTTTGAAAATCAGCCTATTACTGAAAATGCTGAAGAGTACAGTAAAGAATAATGCTCGGGGCTGGGGATTTAGCTCAGTGGTTCTGCTGCCTACCTCACAAGCACAAGGACCCAAGTTCAATACCCAGTAAAAAAAGAAGAAGAAAAACATTCAATTAAAAGGCATCAACAGAAAATAAAAACAAAACAAAACAAAAAAACCAAACAACTCTATTGCTCAAAAAAGCACAGAAGTCAGTATATGGGAAAATCCATAGTGTCTCATAATCTAGCTATAACTACCCCTAATTTCTCAAAGTAGAGATCATAAATGAGTCAGAGGCCAGGTGTGACATGCAGTGACAATAATATTTTATTGGGCTATCTTTTTACTAGGAATATTCCTCTTACTAAATCCCAAATAAACAGCCAAAACTCTTAAGTTAATCAAGAAGCTAAGATTAAAAAATCAGTCATAAAATCTCAATAATTTATAAAGCATTAAAATGATACATAAATATTACTGACCACAGAGAATTAAATCAGACATATGTAAGCTCTTTAACTGTAAACAATGTAACATACTTTAAAGAATAACTTTCAAAATAGGTTAGAAAATATTTAACTGAAATAATGAAAATATCAAAATTAATGGAATGTACTTAAAGAAAGCACTATAGTGAAATTTATAGGTCTACATGATTATAGTAATAAAATAAGGACTGGGGGTAGAGGGGCAGAGGGTTTGCGGATCACGTGTGAACTGAGTTCAATCT